TGTTATTATTATTATTATTATTATTTTTTTTTTATTATTATTATTAACCAGGGGCCTTTTTCTTGAAAGTCCCAGTAACTTAATGGGCCCAAAGCAATGTTTTTAAAATCAAAATTTAAAGGATAGGAAAGCAGGTTCGAGCACCCAAACCAGTCCTTTTTGTTTTCTCTAGCTGATAATATTATTGTTGTATCATTTTCAAAACTTTTAAAATCCTCATCTTGAATGAAAACAACAGCTTTACAGGTCTGTTAAGTTACTGGGACTTTTAAGAAATGGGCCCCAAGTTTAAGTACTATATGGGAATAAATTGTGCTGGAGGTCTTGAATAACAGTACTTGAATACTTAAGACTAAGTACAAAATTTTCTCTTGTACATACTGACCTAAACCAATAAATAACTAATTCAAACTTTTAGCTTTGCTGCCAATGGCACAGAAAAAAATTGGGAATGTGGTCAGTATAATTGTAAAAAACTGGGGCAGTTACAAGTGCCTGATCAACCATGTTTGAGGATAAATGTCCTTTTTGATCAAATTTTTGAAATGGTTTTGTGTGCATCATTGTTTTTATTTTCAGTTGTCCACCATTGTAAGGGTTTTCAATTGAGCAAGCATTTTTAATTACTGATTTTGTCAGTAATCTCTGGAATTATTTTTGTTTACAGACATTTTCAGACAGTGAATCAATCACAGACTACAGTGGAGTTCAAGAGTACATGCTACAGTGTTGTCGCACTGACAATAAAGGAAACTGTGACTCTGTCTTTAGCACAGTGTACTGTGGTGAAGAATCATCACATTTGGTTACAGATCTGGAGCCGCATGTGTCGTACACTTTCCGTGTCTGTGGAAGGTTTGGAAAAGAAGGGAAGTGGGGATCATGGAGTATTCCAAGGAATGGAATAACAACACTTGACCAACATGGTTAGTGTGGAAAAAGACTTAAGTACACAGAGATAGTTGTTAGTATGCTAGATGAGGGATGGTGAGATCACATTTGAGCACTGGCAAAGTTGTTTTCAGCAAATGTTTCTCTTTCCACTCAGAAGAAAAAATTAGGTACAGTAAAATTTCAGGGAAACATGACTAATAAATACATATTATAAATACATAAATTGAAGCTTCCCCTTAGGGGCTTTTCAGCCACAATATAAACTAACTAAGTGCTTAAAAATCCCCACTGGCAGGAGGCAGTCAGACCAGTGGGCTATTTACAGAGTGCAGCCGAGGAGTTGAACTAGGGGCAAGTGAAAACAAATCCAGTGAGCTGACGGGTGAAGGATTTGAACCCAGGACACCGGATTTCAAGTGCAGCACCCTAACCACTCGTCCACACTGCCTCCTCCTAATGTAGGAGACAAGGAGGGAGGGGTAACCCAGGATTGTCAGAGTAACTTGGAAAAATTATGATCTTTCAAGGGGGAGGAGGAGAGGAAGGTGTAACCTGTGACGGACAAGGGACTAGCATCTCATCCAGGGAGAGTATCTATAATCCTAGCCATTGCATTCCAAAGGAATCTCAATAGGGTCTACTCTTCTCATGTGCAGGAATTCCTCATTAGGTTGTTGTGACCTTAATTTTATGTCCTTGTGTTTTTATTTTCTTTTATTTATTTATTCATTTTTTTGATAGAATGGTCTGCTGCGGATTGCCTCAACCAGAATAAACTTGCTGTCTATCAGCTGAGTAACAGACGGAAAACTGCAACAAAAGTATTCCCTGACTGTTCTAAGGTTTTGCGATCAAAGACTATGAGCTACAGACTTGACACAGCACTAGTTCTCAAGATTGAGGAGACTGGTGACTCCAGCAATGGTGACGGGATTGGTCTTACTACTGGGTCATTTGATTTTAGCAATGCTAGACAGGTCCTGCAATGCCCTGGCTCTGTGAGCATCAACTCCAAAGGTGTTGTCTACGTCAATGGAGTACCCATGACGACAAGATTGCCACCATTCAAACGTGGCTCTGTAGTTGTGTTCGAAGCAAGCAGAGTCTCCAAATACAAGCTTCGAGTGTCAATCACTATGGATGACAAGTTAGTGACATTTGATTGGCAGGTGGATGACTCTTGTGATGGATTTTATTTTGCAATGGGTTTTCAACATTCTGGTTGGCAAGTTTCAGTCTAACATTAAATTGTGTCCTCCTAGCTGATAGCATTTTAAGCCTTATTGGTAGGTATTATAGATTGGAAATATTTGATTTTCAGATAGTGAATTTCAAATTGAGTTTACTCAGTAATTATAACAATAAAAATTAAAGCAAAATTTAAGTTTAAGGCAGTTTTTTGCCATGATAAATTTTAATGACCTCAAACCCTGTACTTCTACACGTAAGTACTTAGGGAACAGCAGGCAGGATCTATGAAGTTGTCGTGCTAGATTTTCTGTTGCCACATAGTGAGTAGTAAAGGAATAATCAAATGTTGCCACAATATTAGTCTGACCATTTATTCGTAAAATTCTGGTAAAGTCTGAATTTATAATGTGATATGACAAGGCTGTCATCATTATTTTGATATGTTGCTTCAAATTGATCAGCATAATTTCCAATTTCTGTTTTTTGTTTTCTTATTGTTGTTTTTTTTTTTTCGACATAACTATCTCAGTTGGCCTTGTCAGTGAAATCTCAATTTTTGCAAAAGAATTTTATAACATTGTTCATACACTTTTAGTTGAGTTTGCCAGGTAAAAATGTTTACCATCCATTTTAAAAGCCAAATTATGTTTCAACTTCTGGGTTGCAATACAAGGAATTATCCTGATCAACTTGTGACAATCTTAAAGGGAACAAGGAATCTTGTGAGCACTTCCCTGTCACAGCTTCTTCACTTAATCATTTGGTCAATTTTTCTTGAACTATTAAGAAACTCCATCAAAACCTAAACAATGCTATAGAGCACAAAGTTTCTCCATAATATATTGATGCAATTTTTTTAAAAAAAAAAATAAATCTGATCTGTTGCTGAATACTTTTCAAACAACCTCAACATTTGTTTGAAATAATGCGACAACTTACTTGCATATGCATCTGTTAATATATTCTTGAAAAATTAATCAGGTCCCCATAAGGGTGCTTAAATATTACTGTTGGTTTTTCTTGATGGGGATTATAAACACCAGATCACAATCTTCTCAATGAAAATCTCACAGTTTGACTTTTAATAAAGGTTCTGTTCACTCAAAGTGCTTTGTGTTGGAAATGTTTCATTGTAGCGCTGGTTTCATTAAAAAATAATGTCCATATCTTTTTCCTTCCTGCATTATTTCAACGAAACAGGTGTGATGTCTGGAGAAAAGTGATCGGAAGATTTCCTTACTTTTCTCTGTGATAGCATCAATTGAGTGCTTCGTGTACCTAACTAATAGCCCATTTAGGTACCCCGTGTACCTAACTAATAGCCCATTTAGGTACCCCGTGTACCTAACTAATAGCCTCCAAGGAGGCAGCGTGGCCGAGTGCTTAGGGTGCTGGACTTGTAATCCAGTGTCCCGGGTTCAAGTCCTCCACTCTGCCACTCACTGGATTTGTTCTCAGTTGCCCCTAGTTCAACTCCTCGGCTGCGCTCTGTAAATAGCCCACTAGTCAGCCTCCTGCCAGTGGGGATTTTTAAGCTCTTAGTTAGTCTACATTGTGGCTGAAAAGCTGCTAGGGGGGGGGCCTCAATTAACGTAGATTATTATTATTATTATTATTATTATTATTATTATTATTATTATTATTATTATTATTATTATTATTATTACCA